AGTAATCCATTCAAGAACCCACAAAAAATCTTGTTTTAGTTTTGTGAATTCTTTGTTAGTGATGGCGAAAACAGAGGGCAAGGCTATTGGTATTGATCTTGGCACAACATACAGTTGTGTTGGAGTGTGGCAAAATGATCGAGTCGAAATAATTCCCAATGATCAAGGCAATAGAACAACACCATCCTACGTTGCGTTCACAGATACTGAGAGGCTCATAGGTGATGCAGCCAAGAATCAAGTGGCTATGAACCCACAAAACACCGTTTTCGATGCGAAACGCCTCATCGGTCGAAGATACTCCGATCCTTCTGTGCAGAATGATATGAAGCTCTGGCCGTTTAAGGTGATTGCGGGACCTGGTGATAAACCCATGATTGTGGTTGATTACAAGGGCGAAAAGAAACAGTTTGCGCCTGAGGAGATTTCGTCGATGGTTTTGACTAAGATGAAGGAAATTGCCGAGACTTTCTTGGGGCAAACTATTAAGAATGCAGTGGTGACCGTGCCTGCTTATTTTAACGATTCGCAGAGGCAGGCCACGAAGGATGCTGGGGCTATTGCTGGGCTCAATGTGATGAGGATTATAAACGAACCTACTGCTGCTGCTATAGCTTATGGATTGGACAAGAAGGCCTCGAGGACTGGTGAAAAGAATGTGTTGATTTTCGATCTCGGAGGTGGGACTTTTGATGTTTCGCTTTTGACGATAGAGGAAGGGATTTTCGAGGTTAAGGCCACTGCTGGTGACACTCATTTGGGGGGTGAAGATTTTGACAATAGGCTGGTAAATCACTTTGCGGCCGAGTTCAAGAGGAAGCACAAGAAGGATATAAGTGGCAATGCCAGGGCGTTGAGGAGGTTAAGGACAGCTTGTGAGAGGGCAAAGAGGACTTTGTCTTCAACTACACAGACGACGATAGAGATTGATTCTTTGTACGAGGGTATTGATTTCTATGCCACAATCACGAGGGCGAGATTTGAGGAGCTGAACATGGATTTGTTCAGGAAATGTATGGAGCCTGTGGAGAAATGTTTAAGGGATTCCAAGATTGATAAGAGCCAAGTCCATGACGTGGTGCTTGTGGGAGGTTCGACGAGGATTCCAAAAGTGCAGCAACTCTTGCAGGATTTTTTCAATGGGAAGGAGCTTTGCAAGAGTATAAATCCGGACGAGGCTGTGGCTTATGGAGCTGCAGTTCAGGCCGCGATTCTTTGCGGTGAAGGCAATGAGAAGGTTCAAGATTTACTGCTGCTTGATGTTACACCTCTCAGTCTTGGTATTGAGACTGCTGGTGGTGTGATGACAGTTTTGATTCCAAGAAACACGACGATTCCCGCCAAGAAAGAGCAAATCTTCTCAACCTACTCTGACAATCAGCCCGGCGTTCTCATTCAGGTGTATGAAGGAGAGAGGCCTATGACGAAAGATAACAATCTTCTGGGGACTTTTGAGCTCAAAGGTATACCACCAGCACCAAGAGGTGTGCCACAGATCAATGTCTGTTTTGACATTGATGCGAATGGTATTTTGAATGTATCAGCCGAGGACAAGACTGCTGGTGTAAAGAACAAGATTACAATCACAAATGACAAGGGAAGACTGAGCAAGGAAGAGATTGAGAGGATGGTTCAGGAGGCTGAGAAGTACAAGGCTGAAGATGAAACCGTGAAGAAGAAGGTGGAGGCGAAGAATGCATTGGAGAATTACGCATATAACATGAGGAACACTATAAAGGATGAGAAAATCGGAGGGAAGTTGGATCCCTCTGATAAGCAGAAAATTGAGAAGGCAATCGATGACGCTATTGAGTGGTTGGACCGGAACCAGTTGGCTGAAGTGGATGAACTTGAAGACAAATTGAAGGAGCTTGAGGATTTGTGCAATCCCATTATTTCTAAGATGTACCAGGGTGCTGGTGGTGCTGGTGGAGATGTGCCAATGGGCGGTGCTAGTGGTGCAGAGATGCCGGGAGCTGGTTATGGCAAGGCTAGCTCTGGCAACACCGGTGCTGGGCCCAAGATTGAGGAAGTTGATTAAAGGGTGGAAAGCTGAAAATGGTTCTGTTTTATGACATGTTCTGTTATGTGTTGTTCTGTTCTATTGTACAAGTTGGAGGACGTTCATGAACTAGTAGCTATACGTGTTCTTGAGATGTATCCTAGTATATCTTTCTGATATAATAAACATCATATTTTCACTTCAGTAGTTGAGATTTTGCTAGTAGCTCTACATGTTCTTGAGATGTATCCTTGTATATCTTTCTGATATAATAAAACATCATATTTTCACATCAGTATAGATTGATGTACCTCCCATAATCCCACTAGTTGAGATCGATGAAGTCCCCAAAATACAGGTCGCTGGGGAGAGAGAGCTTTCGGAAGATGCTATTTTGGGGATACAACTATAGCTGTGTGCTCTGTTTTTGTCCCAGTGTTACAACCCATGAGGATTGCAAGTTTCACGTGTTAGTAATATTTGATCTAATGGTTTTGTGTACAAATTGATATGTAGTTCATCCATGCATGTTCTTGAGATGTGTCCTATTGCATGCTGTAAACAAATACATTTTTCTGATACGATTAAAAACATCATTTTTTCCCGTTAATATAGATTGATGTAGCTCCCATATTCCATTAGTTAAGATTGTGATGAAGTCCCGAAAAATCCAGTTCGTGTCTGGGGAGAAAGAGTTCTTGGACGACACTATTTTGGGGATATCTCTTCTGATTTTGTCCCAATATCACAACCCAAGAGGACTGTCAAGTTTCACATCTTGGTAACATTTGATCTGATACTTTAATTTACAGATTGATAACAGTGGATGGCCTATAGAGAGATTTAGACTACCTTTTCATCTTTAGGATTTATGATTCTGCTTTCTTGGCCGTGTTACTTTCATTTGCAGCAATATTGGAAGTCTATGGTTAGCAGTCTGTTAAATTTTGCAAACAAGAACGATATCTGTGACCATCTGTGTATTTCATCATTGCAACATATAAAGTCAACTAGTGCGGTTGGTAATGAGGCATTTTGCAGCTGCTTTCAGTCTGTCTAAGCCACGGTCTAATTCTGATGAAGACGGGGGCTTAGGATCCAATATATTCGCCTTATTCAAACATAATGCAAGAGCTTCAAAAAGGAGACAAATCTACGCAAGTGAATAAATTTAGTACACTAGGCACTTTAAAGAAACATGTCTTAAGGACTTGGCAAAATGATCCATCTCCTATCTTTTGATTAGAAAAATGGCACATACTACGGGTAATTGTTCACTGAAAATACAACTCTGCGAAGCGGTAACATGTCTAGCACTTGCTTGGTTCTAAGGGGTCAGAAGGAGGAGTTAATTGTTTTGAATGGGAACTTTTAGTACTCCATGTTCAGAGAAATATTTACCATCCGAAAAAAAAAAATCTATGTTGCTATAGTAGTGAACTTGCACAAATGGTGCAACTACTTCCCCCCGTCTCTGAGATGAACCCATTGAAATATTTATTCTGTGAAGATGTGAAGTATGCACATACAAAATACACAATACTGAAACGTAGTTTGGACAGTGCCAAAAGGAACTTTTTCCTTCCCTCCCCCAGGAGTCAGTGACAAGCAGGGTAGGATATTGAAGAATGGTATACCACATTACATTTGCGGCTGTCAAGGCTTCAACCATCAAAGTGGATTGCCATCAGCCTTCAGTCACGACACATGACAGTTAACTTCCACCCATCCTGCACTAGCATCAATCAATCTAAGTGCTTTCTACACTTCATACAATTATTCTTCAAATTCACCAAAATCATTGAGTTGTCAAGCACGATTTCCTAATCACCTTCCATAGAGCTGAATTTATAAAAAGTCAACTACTCAACACAATCCCGACTTTTGGACATCAAAGATTACAGCGGAGTGGGGTGGGTCATGGACTTAAAAAGGGAGTTTTTATCCTTCACCTTACAAGCTGATTTTAAGGGTAAGTTTCTATTCAAGCTTTATACACCTTCCCTTAGAAATTGAATTGAAGGGTGATTTCTACCCAAAGTAGTGGTTAAGACTTAGACAAGTTCTTTTAGGACTCAATATTGATGGATACTCTCTGAAGAATCCATTCCAATACACAAAATTTTTAATGCCACTTCCCAATACACAAAATTTTTAATGCCACTTCCCATTACGATATCTTTCTACCCTTTTTTATAAAGTGTAGAGAGATTCACGTGAATGATTCATGAATATGGATGATGACAAATCAAAATATTATATAAAACTCAAGGGAATGGAAAGATATCTCCTTTTTATATTTGCTTAACAGAGAGGTCATTCAGAAAGGAGATTAATAAATCATCAATAAACAACTGCTTTAGCAAACTGCTTAGCGATTATTTAGACCAATTAAATGCAGAAAACCCTTCATATTTAATTGAAAAGAGCTCATGCCTCACCAAATTCGGAAGTCAGAAAAATTGAAAATTTATGACTGAAAATTTGGGGTCCGTTTGGTATGATTTTTGAAAAGTTAATAGAAGTTTTTGAGACCAAAAAAAGTAGCTTTTGGACCGATTTGTCTAATTTTTTGAAAGTATTTCTTCTAGTTAAAATAGTTTTACTGAAAATTTGGGGTCCGTTTGGTATGATTTTTGAAAAGTTAATAGAAGTTTTTGAGACCCAAAAAATAGCTTTTGGACCGATTTGTCTAATTTTTTGAAAGTATTTCTTCTAATTAAAATAGTTTTTAGAAGAAGTTGGTCCAATGTAACTTCTTCTAAAAATACCTCTGAAATAGAAAGTACTTTTAAAATCCATTTTCAAAAATTAAGATAGCTTTTTCAAAAAACCCTTTCACGTGAAGCAAAAATAATGTCAAACGAGTCCTTAGAATGATCAACTTTAAAACTTAAACCTAGGTTTCGAGTTGTTCTCTTCATCTGAACAGCTTTGGTGATGAGTACATCAAGAGAAGAAACTGCAGCAACAAATGTCAGGAGAACATAATCATGCATCCTTTCTAGATTTTGTTAAATGCCAAAAGACATTATTTGGATAATGGGATTTTTTATTCATTGATCTAGGCTAGAACAACCATAAATCATTAAACATAAATGTCAACTATATCAATTTCAGCAGGCTAAGTTAAAAAACATATATAAATCAACTGTTCTCCGCTCAACTTTAGGGCGAATAGTAATCATATTCTACTAGGTACTAGAAGCAGTTGTCCTCCCAGTGGGTGTTTATCTAAGTTGAATATCTATTCATTCCTCTCCTCAACGTTGAATAGGGAAGAAGGATTGTTTAGTCCCTCATCAAATCATGCCGCAATTGAATTTTCCATATTCAAAAATCTCTTTCCACCTCCACCCATAACCACAAATAAAAATGTCAATCGTGCAAGCAGACCACCACATAAAAGCTTTGAACTTATCATTTTAATACTCGAATATGTAATACACCTGTGTAATAGCTTGATCCACGGATATTTTGGAGATCATCATCGACCACTGCTTCTCCAGCATGTCCTTCAAGATAACCATGCTCGTTTTACTGATACAGCATTCTGTTACATGTTTCGGAGATGCGTTTTCCAGTCATCATCTGCATCCACAACACAATTTACACACAGATAAAGCAACACTCCTGGAGTTCAAGAAGAACATATTATATGACCCACATTCAAAACTTGCTAACTGGGATGAGAAAACTCATGTGTGCAACTTCACCGGTGTAAAATGTGACGAACTGCATCATCGCGTTTTCCAAATCAACCTCAATGATTCTCATCTCTTAGGTTTGCTTCCACCAGTAATCTCAAATCTCACACAGCTTCGAGTGCTAGAGCTCGTAAACAATCAATTTTTTGGCATTATCCCATCCGAATTTTCCTCCCTCAGGAAACTTATTTATTTGAAACTCAGTAGCAACAATTTCCATGGACAAATACCACATTCCTTTTCTTTACTTTCCAACCTCGCATTGATTTTTCTTGATGCAAATAACTTAAATGGAACGATCCCACCAGCTCTCTTTTCCAACTGTACATTCCTGAATAATGTAGATTTCTCCCAAAATTTCCTCACTGGTAAGATTCCAGCAGAAATCGGGAAATGCCCATATCTGTGGAATCTTAACTTATACAACAACCAATTCATTGGAGAAATCCCTGCATCTTTAGCCAATTCATCAGGTATATTGAATTTGGATGTGGAGAACAACAGCCTTTCTGGTGAACTGCCTTCAGAAACAATATCAAAGCTAAACAAGATGTGGTACCTTCATTTATCATACAATCACATGGTGAGCCATGACAACAACACTAACCTAGAGCCATTTTTTACTGCTGTGGCAAACTGCAGTGGGTTAGTGGAGCTGGAATTGGCTGCTATGGGTCTTGGAGGCAGATTGCCTAGTTCCATTGGACTACTGAGTGAAATACTGGATCACCTGTTACTACAAGAAAACCAGATAACTGGATCAATTCCTACTGAGGTGCAAAATCTTTCCACCATTAAAATACTGAATTTGACATCCAATCGTTTAAGTGGAACCATTCCAGCTGAAATAGGTGAATTGTCATATTTGGAACAGCTTTGTTTGTCTCATAACTTGTTGACCGGTGATATTCCAGCTTCTATAGGACAAATGTCTAGTCTTGGTCTGATGGATCTATCTAATAACAAATTATCTGGTCAGATTCCTAAAGAATTTGGAAATCTATCCAGAATAAACTATCTATTCCTCAACGACAATCTTCTTTCTGGAAAAATACCTACGACCTTAGGGAGATGTATGTCTCTGTACAAGCTAGACCTGTCCTACAACAGATTGACAGGAAGCATCCCTACAGAAATATCTGGAATGCGTGAAATCCGAATATTTCTGAATCTATCACATAACCAGCTTGAAGGGCCCTTGCCAGTCGAACTAAGCAAACTGGAGAGTGTTCAAGAGATTGATTTTTCGTCTAATAACCTTAGTGGGAGTATCTTTTATCAAATTTCTAGTTGTGCCGAATTGCGGGTGATAAATTTCTCCAACAATTCTCTTCAAGGGCATCTTCCAGAATCGTTAGGAGATCTTAAGAGCCTTGAATTTTTTGATGTTTCACAAAACAAGTTATCTGGAATAATCCCGGATAGCTTGAACAAAAGCCATACTCTGACGTTCCTGAATCTTTCATTCAATAACTTTGCTGGAATGATTCCCACTGGTGGCATCTTCGATTCCATCACAAAGTTATCATTCTTGGGCAACCAGCAGCTTTGTGGGTCTGTTCCTGGCGTACCAGTTTGCCACAGAAAGCAACACTATTTCCTCTCCCGTGTTTTCTTGGCTATCTTTTGTATTGTCATATTCATATCAGGTTTTTTCTCGACAATCTGTTGTGTGATTGGATGCCAGCGCCTGAAAGTTATCGTTTCCACCAGCCAGGAAAGAAAAGAGAGAAAATTGCCGCAAGACTTGACACACAATTTTCCAAGAATAACCTATAAAGAACTTTCAGAGGCCACAGGAGGATTTGATGACCAGAGACTAATTGGATTAGGCAGCTATGGGCGAGTGTATAGAGGAGATCTTCCAGATGGAACCCAAATAGCAGTCAAGGTTCTACATCTGCAAACCGGAAATTCCACTAAGAGTTTCAACAGAGAATGCCAAGTGTTAAAGAGGATCCGTCACAGAAATCTAATAAGAATTATTACAGCTTGTAGCTTGCCAGAGTTTAAGGCCCTTGTTCTTCCCTATATGGCAAATGGGAGCTTAGACAGCCGTCTTTATCCACATGCAGATAATGGCCTAAGGTTAGGCTCCTCAGATTTGAGCCTAATACAGAGGGTGAACATTTGCAGCGACATTGCAGAAGGGATGGCTTACTTGCATCACCATTCTCCAGTTAAAGTCATACACTGTGATTTAAAGCCAAGCAATGTTCTTCTGAATGATGATATGACAGCTTTAGTCTCTGATTTTGGGATAGCAAGACTGGTCATATCTGTTGGAGCAGGAAATGGCGGGATAATTGAGAATATGGGGAATTCGACTGCGAATATGCTATGTGGATCTATTGGATACATTGCACCAGGTGAGGTTTTCTCTTTTGCTTTTCATATGCATAATTAAGGACAAATAAAATTGAAGGAAAAAAAAAAAATAAGAGCATGCTGAGAGATGAAAATGAAGCAGCATATATGCTTCAGCTATAATTAATAATTTAACATTGAAGCACTAAATGCAAACGAATAATATTGGATCTAACAACTAATGACAAGTTGAGCTACTGCATGCATATATCTATATTTTCTTGAAAAGTTTATGCACGTTGCTGATTCCTGTTATTACCTTGAAGAGTATGGGTTTGGGTCAAGCACATCCACAAAGGGGGATGTTTATAGCTTCGGTGTCCTGGTTCTTGAGATGGTGACTAGAAAGAGGCCAACAGATGACATGTTTTCCGGAGGGCTAAACCTGCACAGATATATCAAAAGCCAATACCACAGGCAAATAGAAAATGTTGTTGACTCTTCCTTATTGAGATCCTTAAAAGACCAGTCCCCTGAGGTAAAGAAAATGTGGGAAGTCGCAATTGGAAAATTAACTGAGTTGGGAATTATCTGCACGCAGGAATCAGCTTCTACGAGGCCTACAATGCTTGATTGTGCGGATGACTTGGATCGTCTCAAGAGATACCTGTCAGGGGACACAACAGCAACATTGGCGACATCCCTTGGAATATCATCTTCAACGTTCAGTGATGATTAGCAATATATGTAGATTCATCAGATTGCTTCTGGGATTCTAATTGCAGCAAACCATTAATTTTCAAGAAGTTGAGTTCTCCTACTTAGCAATCTTTTGGCTAGCAAAATTAGTTGATTGAGGTACAAATATAAATCCTGAAGAATATATAATATTTTTTTGAAACTTCTCCTCTTTATTCTTCCACCACTGTTGCTCTCTTTACCATAATTTTACTTGCATCATTACTCATGATGACAATAGAGCTGTATTAACAAATGACTAGGTTCTCAATTCTCAAATCTCAAATGTATGCTAACGGGGCACATAAAATAGAAGATCAAATCATATAATCATACCAGATTACCTAGTTTAGCAGTCGAAATCTGACTTCATAAGGTCTGAATTGGAAAAAAAAAAAAAAGGTTCTGGAGCTTTCTGAATAGTAACATATTTTTGTTCAAGAAAAAAAAAGAGCGAAAAGCTCTTTAGTTTTACTCTCTGGTTTATTAACTGTAATAAATATGAAAAGTAGACATGAAATCATATTGTACAGAAGATAGCGACTCGTGTCACAATAAAATCATCCCGATAGATGACAGTCTGCATACTTTATAGAGAAGCTTGTGCAATAAGATCATTTGAACTTACGAACTAAAAAAATATTCCTAAACGCTACAAGTGTATGTAAAGCTCTCCCCCACCCAATTCCATTCATTTAGAAAAGAAGGAGAACCTAACATTACTTCATATCATAGACGTAAAAGAGTATGATGGAGATTAAGCTACTTTCAAGTAAACATTAAACAAGCAAATAAATATTGATTAATGTACTAACTACAACACAATTTTAGCTTGTGCCGTAAAATAATGATGAGATTTACCTGCCATATCTTTTCAAGTGTTCAATATATTTTTACCATATCCAGGAAAAAGACACAATTCTTATCCTGAGTCATGCTGAAAATTTCATTTTATTTTATATCGGAGAACTTTGTATCATAGTCATGCAATGCAACCATTGAAGAATATTTGCCTTGCACCAAACTGTTTGTCTAGAGCAGTTTGTGGTTGGTCATGCATAAAACAGAACGAAAAGAACTGCAACTTAATATAGGCTGCCAATTATTTGCACACTACCTGAGTGTCTGTGATGGAGATCATATCATTCAATGTGTCATATGAAGACTTTCAAAGCTTAGATTCTTATTTTAGGAGAACTAATTAGGGTTTGGTTTTATAAATTTTCTAATATTTCATTAGTTGCTTTTTACTTAAATTAGATTAATTTGAACCCTAAAGGGCTTACACATTGTAAGAGTTAAATTTTGATATTGGAAAGGGAAAAAAAAACACTGGTTCCTCCCTAATATCTTTCTGCCCTCTTTTACGTCCGTTTTTCTCCTCTTCCCCTTTCTGCCATATCTTCCCCCTCTTTCCCCTTCTTCTATAGTTCTGGTTCTTTGTAGTTGCATCCTACACCAGTCTGCCAAGGTTTCAACTGTAAATTGAATAAGAATCTTTCTTAGTGTGCTGAACAGCTACTTAACTGCAAGCATTGCAGCATTATAATCAATAGAACAATATAAAATTTTAAGAATTGTAAAATGTCCTTCGTAAAATACCTGGCATAAATCAATCCACAGAGTTTTTTTCCCCCTCTGGCGCAATTCCACAAATATCTTCGTTGCAAACAAAAATTGTTACAGTTAGAGTCTACCTCACATAGCAATTCTCCGAGAAGATTTCTTGGTTACCTCCCCATAAAAATCTGCAAGCAAATTTTCAGCATTTACCCTTTATCACTGTTGCGGATTAATGATGTTGTATCATAACAAGTGGGCAGCCGGAGCACCTTAGAAAAAAAGTTACAAGGCACATAGGACATAATCCAGAATTAAAAAATAATTATATTTGAAAATAATCTATAATTTGCAATATAATTGAAGGGGGGGCGGGGTGAAATCATCTTCGTACGAGTATTTGATTTTCTACCTCATAAAGTCAAATTATCGAGTATTTGATTTTCTACCTCATAATCCATGGAGTTTTTCCCTTCATTTTCATATGTCAAGAAATTAAGTTGAATTTATCAACTTGGGTAATTTTGGGTAAGGATAGCCTTTTCAAAATCTCGATGAGGAAGAGAGGAGGAAAATATAAATTTGTATTTGTTTTTGTGCATGCATTTAAAATGTTAAAGAAATTTTCAAGATATCTACATTTGGAAAGAAATTTATAAATTTTTATAAATTCAATTAAAATTAAATACTTATTTTATCTATACATTTATAACTAATACTTATTAGAGTAATGATATCTAGCATCAATGTTGTTATAACAATCGTTCTAGTGGTGTTATATGATAAGTTCAATGAAATGTAGAGTTAAATTATACGTTTAATATATCTTTGTAGGGTATGACTATTATATACAGAAATTATTATAGTTCATTTGAATGTCGTGTCGATCACAAAAATGAGTCCATTGCATGCCAATATGTCTTAGAATGAACATTTATGTCTCGATCGTTGACATATTCAAAAACAAAAGAACACCTCAGTTGTCAAGGTTCGCCTACACAAACGAACCCATGGAATTTCAATACTTGGTCAAAAATATGATTGAAGATGTCGGATAACCTTAGACATGAATGAGATATCTCAGTGCTAATTCTAACAAATAACTTTGAGATTAGTGCACTATCCCCCTCCACGTAGACAAGGTATTCCCAAACACACGTCAAAAAACCTCGAAAATCAATCGACTTTGAAAATAAAAAATTAATCATAAATTCCAACATAATGATGAAAATAGTCAAGTCGCAAAAATAACTGAAATGTCCTTATAAAATTCCTATAAATAGGTCATTGCAAAACTAGAGAAGAGGACTTTTACTCTCTCTCTCTCTCAAGATCCAAAAAATAAAATTCGAAATATAGAAAAATTCAGAAAGGAATTATCTCTTGAGAAATTGTAAGAGAAAATATACAATTCCTTTAAGAATACAATTCATTTTTTGAAGTCAACAGTTAGGCATCATCTGTTAAAGGTCATACCAAAACCATGAAAGTATAAACACGTGTAAACAAAAAGTCCCCAAAAAAAAAAAAAAAAAAAAAAAAAAGAAAAAAAGAGGATTCGCGTGCTTTACATACATTAATCAAACAATGATGATAATTTTGGAAAGAGTATGAATGAAAGTCGTAATTCAATGTACAACCCTCGACAAAGAAGAAATTGAAGGTTGTCAAGAATGGTGACAAAGTTAACTCAAACAGTAGCTAACGTGGCTTCCAACATGCAACATTTTGCCAACAAAGATGTTACCACGAGGCAATTCTTAATACGGCAAAAACATGCAATTCTGCCTTCCAAGAAAATGGAGGCGAGAGCAAAGCCAATGGCTCAAAGCAAAAGACAGAATGCATCACATCAAACAAAAGCCTTCTTGATTTGCTCCTATTTTCAATTGGTAGGTAAGCACTGATGCCGCCCGAGATGAAGCTACGGCAAGGCCTTGGAGAGAGAGGTAAGGGAGAAAATTTCAGTAAGTTCGTCAATATATGAGGATTAGGATTCTCCAATTGCTCCTACCAAAGGAATGGAGAGTAGGTCGCTTCGTTCAGATGAGATAATTGATAATAAAAAAAATATGCCCATTGCTTGAGGCAATCAAAATGTTGGGAGGCCTAGCACATTCTCAATGTCGAAAATGCAAATTTTTGTGGAAATGCAATCCTATTAATCATTTTCGAGTGTTACAACTCAATACCCAAGATCGATACAAATTTTACAAAACACGGACAAAAATCAAAGGCATCAAGTTCTCATTGATTGGGCTAGAACATGCATTGTACCCGTCTGTACAATGTTTAATAGCTCCCATACTACGATACAAAGGCAGTAACTCAATGGACCCAATCTCTCCAAACCACCAACACAACCCTTTCAAACTGAAACCGAAGAATCACCAAGATTCAACATCCTCGAATTCACCAAAAAATCAAGGGTTTATGGTCTAAAGAGCAAGAATCACGAAGAAGTAGAAAGGGCAGAGACACCAAGTCTCAAAGGAGAGAAGATGAAACCTAGAGGCTCTACACACGAAGAGATGCAAAAATAATGAAACCAAGTGGGTCAGAATATCTCAGACCAACTAATATATATGAATGGTCATCAGTGTAGATGTTAGGTTTAGGAGATCCAACGGTCTAGAATCACACATGTGTATCATATGATTTGGGCGAAGTCACAACATATTTCAACATTGAGTTATTAGGCAATGAACTTGTAAAATTTTGCGAAAATGACTGAATTTTATTCAATAATTTCTGCATATAATTTACACATATATGTAGCTCTCAACCTTCTAATCAATTCTTGAAAATCTGCTACTAATTGATGCTATATTACAAAGATGGAAAGATATATATTGCAATATATTTATCTTCTAATTAAATCAATCTATAATATTGACAAGGATATTTGATTTTCTCAATACTCTCCCCTCAAGTTGGTGAGTAAATGTTTTGAACTCCCAACTTGACCAACAAAGAATGAAATTTTTCCTTCCTGAGAGTTTTAGTGAATATATCATCAAGTTGTGACATATATGGAACAAACTTTGTCACGATCTTTCCTTCCATAATTTTATCTCGAACAAAATGACAATTATTCTCAATGTGTCTTGTTCGTTCGTGAAATATTGGATTTACAGCAATATGAAGAACAGTTTGATTGTCACAGAACAAGGTTGTTGGCCTTGAATTTGAACTTCCAGATCTCGAAAAAGATTTTGTAACCATGTAAGTTCACAACATGTCGTTGCCATGTATCTATACTCAGCTTCAACAAAAGATAAGGATACTCTGGAGTTTGCTTTTCCATGAGATAAGACAATTTTCGAGGAAAACACAATAACCAGTTGTTGAACGTGGAGTGGTTGGACATCTTGCCCAATCAGAGTCACAATATGCTTTCAAACTTGTATTATACTTTACATATAATTTTCAAATAATAGATAATATTATATGATAGTATAATATTCTTAATTGAAATATTTGAAGAGATTTTTATTTTTTTAATAATTGAGAAAAATAAAAATAATAAGTAAGTTATTATATAAATTAAACAACCAAAGGAACCAACAGTTGGAGTTTCTTTCATTATTCTCAAATTCTCACTTCTCACTTCTCACTTCTCATATCAAATACTTACTAGAATATCATAAAATTTACAATCTATAAATAGTTGGACAAAGAAATGGGTAAAAAGCTATTTGGGTCTTTAAATTTTAGGATTTTGAAGTTGACTAATATAAATTTTTTCATCCTTCTAATTTTTTCAATTTCGAATCAGATTATCGGTTCGGATATCCGATAACATAGTAAATGAGATATGGATTTAGCAATCAAGTATTCGTTAAATTATCGGATCGGATCGAATAATTATTCTTAACGGATCGGATCGAATCGGATCGAATTTGAGCATATCCAATCCATTTCCAGCCATATTCCCGAGGAGTCCACAGCTTACATTGGTGAAGCTAACATATATAAGTCCTCGGCGAATAGCCTTTAGGGTATGCCAGTAATGACAATATCACCAATCTTTAGTGCTTAGCTTTTCCTTTGTTTTCTACGTTTATTGCTTTCTTGCAAAAAAAAACTTCATTAAATGTGTTTATATTTGAATTAACTGATACACTACAAAGGGAAGCTTATGATAATAGATAAGCCCATTACAACCAAATTCATCTGCCATGCACTCCTCTCTATCAAATCCATCAAAAAATTATGAATAACATAGATATCACCACGCCAATCAAAATACACAATAAGAAAGAATGAATTAAAATTTCATTTTTCTACAAGAACCAAAGAAACCTAGATAAACACAGCTACATAACTTAGAGTATAAAATAAGCAACTTGTCTACAATCGACATGGAGCGAGAACATTTCTGTGAAATAAACACCCCATTTCCATGTTTATAAACCAAGGACCTATGAATCCGTCAAACGTTAAATAGTGTTGGCAGCATACCGAGCAATGGCCAATTAACAAGAAGCACGTTGTAATTCCAAAAACCCCAAAGACAAAGAAACCATAGGACTGCTAAGCAAGCCTCAAAATACCACACTAGTGTCATTCTACGATAAACAAGCCGATGCTACAGCATAAAACTTGAAAAAATAAAATCATGAAACGTTGGACTCTTAACTATTTGTTCCTGACATCCCATAGATTAACATGGAGTTAATAGCCCAAATGGTTACTGAACTTTGCAAAAGTTTTCCCAGGGTTATCAAATTTTAGAAATCATTTAAATCATCACTGAATTTCGTAAAATGTTTTCACGAGGTTACTCAACTTTGCGGGATTACCAAACTTTTAAAAATCATCACTTTCATCACTAAAACTTTGCAAAAAGTTTTCCTGGGGATCACAAACCTTTTGCAAAGTTCAATGATCCCATGAAAATATTTTGCAAAGTTTAGTAATAAATGTGATGGTTTTTAAAATTCAGTGATTCCATGAAAACTTTTTACAAAGTTTAGTGATGACTTAAATGATTTTTTAAAGTTCACTGAGCCCGTGAATTTTTTTGCAAAGTTCAGTGACCATTGGATTATTAACTCGATTAACATGGGATGAACTACAATAAATATTTTTGTATTCCTTCTATTAACCATTTTATTTATTTATTTATTTATTTTAAATTTTTGGGGAAGAAGATGAGTGGGGTAGGGGTGAAAAATAATATTTAAAAGATTTGGAATTTTAGATGGCACATATTAAAAAAAAATTAGATTTTATTTGTAACAAAATAAAAAATTTTAGTGCTGAAATTGCAATTATTCCATTTTAATTTTGGCATTTTTTATAATTATTTTTAACGACAAATCTGATGAATCTTTATGGAAGGAAATTTTTTTGCCCAAAAAATTTCGAATAGGGGAGTTTTATGCGATTAATCCTTTATAATGTGGTATATCGCGCATGAAAACGTTATAGGGGAGTTTTTTGCTATTGATCCTTTATAATGTTTATTATTAGAATTTTGTGGTGAAGATCAGGTGGTTCGTTCTAATTAGAATTGAATCAAACTAATTCTTAATTGGAATTATTATAAAAATATAATCATTGGT